AGCTCAACAAAGTGGCTAATCATGTGGAAATTGAAAGCAGGCAAATGATCTAAAACGCATGTTGGTTATAAACGTGGAGGGAAAAACCGGAGAAAAAATACGCGGCCAAATATACAGGCGTCAGGGTCGGGATCAAACCCACGACCTCCTGCATACCAAGCGAGGGAGTTAACATCTCATAGCCACCGCGGCACCCATGTATCGTCAAATTGTCCTCATGGCCTTGCACGATGTGGGGAAGGATCTCATCCAGCAGTGGAATGGCTCTGCAGTTCACGAAACAAAATTGTAAATCATTGTCTGCATCGGTAAGAAGTCACACAATTCTCTGCTCACAATCTCTGCCTTTGTTCTCTCTGCCCTGAAGTTATCCTCCGAAGCGTTAGCCCTACCGTGTCTTTATCAGCCATAAAGCTTTATCTTGTTAATCGCGATGGTGGTAAAAGGTAACCCCCCCCCACCCCATCCCTAAGAATACGAGAGGTCGAGCAATGGTCACAGATGCTCAGCCCGGCAACGGAGTGGCTGAAGAAACAAGGGGTTGGCTGTTTTGCAAGAGGGGGCACCCGGACTGGCCAAAGTGCAACACGGGGGGGGGGGGGGCCTTGGGACGGGTTGCGGGGTACGGAAAGCTCCCCCCGACTCCGCCGTGACAAAACTGATGAAACAGACCCCCGCTAAAAAAAACTAGAAACCTCACCACACAAGTATTGTACATCTTACAAATCATTCCCACACCGCCCTACCCCACACACACAATTCAAGCAAAGATCCTGGTAAAAACTAAAACTTTGGTTATTCCACAAAGCCAACGTTAGAAAGTAAGTACCACTTATTTTTTTTTTATTTTACCGCCTTGAGTAAATTCAATTTTTTTCTTTGCTTTTATTTCGTTTATTTTTTTGAGAAAATTATAAAGCATCAAGTACGCGGGTTTGTTGGGACTCGCTCATCGCCCCGTGCACAAAGTTCTGGCGCCATGCCCACTCGTGGGGTGTGTACACAAAACGTCCAATATGCACCTCTGACAACACAATTAAACAGGGCCACAAGGGGAATGTGCGGAAGCGCCAATTGACCCAAATTTTGTTTACGCATCGTGCATCATGTAGGACCCATCTGTTAAAACACGATGAGACCTCGCAACTTCAAATGGCTCGACAACAAATGCCAAATAAAGCGTTCATTTTCTTTCACTGCGTCCCAAGCAATGTCGACAAACGATCGGTGGTGCATCGAGCGTCCAAGAATTTCACTTTCACCTCGGATGTTGTCCTTCAACGTGCTGAAAATTTATTTATAAAAAAAAAGCCCTTGCTTGCTCTGCCGATGGTGCTGCCGTCGATGTTTGTGTCACTCTTTGTTGTTGTCACGTGTCTTGCCCTGTGGCCCCGACGGGACGTCTGCGCAAATATAAAGAGCTTTACAGCTCATCGGATTCCTCCTGCGGTCCAAGTAAAGACTGCCAAGTTGTAAAGACGTCTTCAAAGCGTTCCTCGATTAACCTCCCCGCACAACAGCTCGGGGGCTGCGTCTCGCCGTGGTTGCAAAAGGCAGCGTCGGAAGTGGCGAAGAGAAGCGGTGGAAAATTTAAGCGGTCAAAAGTATCCTCCCCCCCCCCCATTCACAATCTGGCGAGCCGGCTGCGTCCAACGACCGGAGACGCGCGCCTCCCACCCTGCCCCCACCCTGCCCCCACCCCAACCTGCCCCCCACCACCACCACACAAGAGCCGGCCGCTGGCGGGTCCCAAACCTGGAGGTGTCGGCCCCCCCACACCTCGACCGCGTACCCTGGAGACACGAGCAGTAGGCCGAGTTGACCACGGCGCGGGGATGTGAACGGTAGCGGTCACCACTCGGCGTCGTCACTTGAGCCTGGCTCGCTGACCTCTTACCGGCGAGAAGCGACACTTCGGCCAGGCGCTGGGGTGCGGATGACGAGCGGATTTAAGATTTTCCACCAAGAACTGTCGATGTTCATCATCATCATCATATCAGCCGCGATGATTAAATCCCAATGAAGGCTCCGATATTTAAAATGTCATCCCCTACGAGCGAAAACACCCGCTTCTAATAGTGCAATGGAGGATGCGTATAAGCTCACGTTGTCAAGTGAAAAAAGGAGCACTACGCGATTGTTTCTGAAACAAGAACCCAGCACACACCACGATTTACCGTAATCTGTCAAGAGCGAAGAGGGCTTAACCGGTGTTTCGTGGGGGAACGTGAAGGAAAGCCAAACTGCGGGCTTTAGCATTGAACCGTAATAATCCTAGTTTGTCTATCTTCATGAGCCCTGAAAAATAACACTGAACCGTGATAACCCTACGGGCTGCCTACGGCTCCGCATTCACGCATTCGTTGAAAATGGGCATTACATTCGGCTGTGGTGGCACTGCTGGTGTCAAGTGGCACTCGATTAAAACAAATACCACTTTTCAAGCGTTGTTGTCAACAGCGGGGTCATCAATTTCGGCTGCTCCCAATTTCGAGGGAACGAGTGACTGGGCGGCGGGGGGCGCCTCTCTCCACGAACGACGTCGACTGGGAACGCTGCCATCCCGCCGTCCCCCCAATCCGCCACGTGAGCGGGGAGACAGACACCACAGACCGTGGGGGGGACTTGACGGGCTGTGCGACTGGAGAGGAAGGGAAAAAAATCCACACGGGCGCTCTTTTCCGGCACGACGTGGGCGTGGGGGGCACCCGCCAACGTCTGCGAGGACCCCTCTCTCACCGACACACCTCTCTCACCGACACACCTCTCTCACCGACACACCTCTCTCACCGAGACCCCTCTCTCACCGACACACCTCTCTCACCGAGACCCCTCTCTCACCGACACACCTCTCTCACCGAGACCCCTCTCTCACCGACACACCTCTCTCACCGACACACCTCTCTCACCGAGACCCCTCTCTCACCGACACACCTCTCTCACCGAGACCCCTCTCTCACCGAGACCCCTCTCTCACCGAGACCCCTCTCTCACCGACACACCTCTCTCACCGACACCCCTCTCTCACCGACACCCCTCTCTCACCGACACACCTCTCACCGACACACCTCTCACCGACACACCTCTCTCACCGACACACCTGCGCACGCCAAACCCACCGCTTACTGTCCCAGGGTCATTTCTACCGATGGCCGATGGAGGTCTTTTTTTTGTCGTCAGAAACTTGCCCCGTGTACAGTGTGGCTCCATGCCACGCTACACTTGTAGCCCTGGAATGTGGAAACGCGAGAGGCCGCCACTCTCCGAGACGGCTCTCGCCGCCTCCAGCTGGGTTCCAGGAGACCGACTTTGAGGTTGGCTCCAGCCAGAATATTGCCAACTGCCCCCACCCCCGCGCCCGACTCAATGCGACCAAGGCTTCAATCGCGAGGTTATCCAGGTCGAGGCGAAGCTTCCGTCTCAACGCCGCGGGGCGGACGAGGCTAACTTTCGCAAACTTCGGGTGGCTCCGAGTTCGTGGACTGCAAGAGACGACGGAGGATGCCAACGGATGGAGGTCACGATTTTTTTGACGCACACTTCAAACAGCGCGGACCGTCGCTTCGAGAGTCGATGAGCGCGCAGGCGGGGGGGGGGACACGGACCCCGTACGCTCCGAGAGGATGGAGCCGACGCGTCCTTCTCACAGCAACGTCGACCACACTCACCCCCCCCCCCCCCCCGCAACGACCAACATCTATCATCGAACCCTGGCAGAGCGCCGACGCCGAGCGATCCCCGACCGGCGCAACTCCTCGCGGCATGACCGCGCGCGTTCACCTGCTTGACCTGGCTCTCCAGAATCCATTCTTGAATCGGTGGGCTCTCCCCAGTGCTCGCTCTCGGTAGAAATTGGAAGCGGCGAGCCGGTGGGGGGGGGGAAGACCCGTTGCGGCGAGCGAGGGGACGACAGAGGCGGGTTGGTTAAGCGAAGAGAAGCGGGCACACGCGTCTGTGACTCCGACGGAAGTGTTCCGAGCGAGGCCCATGTCCCTCCCCCATTCGACGAGCTGGGGTAGGGGGGGGGGGCAACCCTCACGCACTCCAGGCAACGTCTCGACACGGCCAGGCTCTTTCTCACCGGTCAATCTATAATCGAGCTGCGTCTGCAGTTTAACGCCATTACGTCAACACTAACTACGGGTTAAGGCACTGCGTTAATCGCAGATCTAGCTAATATCAAACAAAATATCTTAAACCAAAAAGGCTTTATTTTATTTACTCGTTAGTGCAGGGCTCATCAAACTTTTCAAGCCAAAAAAACTCGCAAGCTGGGAGGAAGGGGCGGGCGGATGGCTGGGTAGGTGGCATCGTACGCACGCCTCCAGCGTGAAGGTTTAGCACAGGAGTCATTCTGTCAATTGCTGGATTTGAGCGAATACTGATGCCTTCAGGTTTGATTTACTACTTAAGTGCGTCACGACTTTATAATGACAATGGAACACCCGGGGGTGCGCCTCTGACCGCCGCCGGTCGAAGATGCGGCGTGCGCGTGTGGCACATCTCGGAGTTTGAATTTCACGTTGGTGCTTTTCAGAACGATAAATCGGTAGGGGGCGTTAGTCTGTGCAGCCAGGAGAGACGGAATACCCACGCCAGCGTGCTCCCTACCCAGGCAACGGGCAGCACGGAGCACAGCGTTTCTCGATTACCACACAACGGTCTCACCGCCACGGGTTCCACCCCCCCCCAACCCGCCCCACATCGTAAACTGAAGTCGGAACGTTATCTCGCAAATAGGACGCGGCTTCAAATCGGAACGTGTACTTCCGATGCGAATAAAATTCAGTTCGCTCGTACGACTGCAGCCGGAGGACGGCCGCCAGCGTGTGTCCACACACTGGCGAGCGGGCAACCGCGCCCTCGCTCGGGGTTGTTCAGCCGTCCGCTCATCTCCGCCGGCAGTCGTAGGCCAGCGGTGTGTCAACGCCGCAAATGACCCCCGCGGGGGCGACCCCGTGTCGCTCTTTACGACAACTGCTGTCGGCCGTCGTAAAAAGCGGAGCTCATTTTTTTTTATTGACACGGAAGGAAAGATAGGCTTGTGTCAACTGCTGGCCGAGCGCTGTGATCTCAAGGCCTTACCGCAGACTGCGAGTAAGGCGCTGCCCGCCGCTGCCCCCGGTAAACACGATTCGCGCGCGGAGCCAACTGGATCCCACCAACGCCGTTTGAACGTCACACCGAAAGTATTTATTACGACTTGCTTCAACAAGGGTTGCTGCTCAACACGCGGACGTCGGGCTCGAGCCAGTGACCCTCTCTCTCGAGACCCACGCCGAGCGACAGGCGGTTCCCCCCGCGCAAGAGAACACCCCCAGCTGATGTGCGGCGCTCACGGAATCTACCCGAAGTTGCTTTGCTCAAGGCAAATTGGTCTCGAGCATCGTGCGTCGACCCTACCGTCGGTGTGATAACCGGGAAGCGCACACCCCCCCCCCCCCCCCCCATTACACACATTCACGCGCCTATATGACCGAGTGTGAGAGTAAGTAAAAGTACAAAAACAAAGTTAGTGTTATATTAGTCTACCTGCTCATTCTAATCAGTCTGCGTAGGGTTCTCAGGCCGACGACGGTGTGAAGATGCAAGGCCCCCGGGCTGCGTGGGGTGCTGCTCCTGCCCCAGACCGCTGCTCGCCAGCCCCCCCGTGCTTCTGTGTACACTACACACCCCTCGCCGTCCGCCCGACCGGCGCGCGAGCCGTCAACCCCTGTCGACTCGCAGCAGGGAGTAAAAATTGCATCAAGCGAAACGTGTTTTTACGCGGCTTCTTTGTTCAAAAAAACAAAGCGTGTGCCGCCTGTCACCGGCCAGAGAAGGCGGCTTCAGCGTGATCATCGACAGCCGTGAGTCGCACGTGTCGCTGAAGACGGTCCCGCAAAATCCCCGCCTCACCTCCCCCCTTACTTGCAAAAAACAAAACAAAACCCACACCCCTGCACGCTAGGCACATTTCATGTGTTGGCTTGCACCAAGTTGGAGGCAGCATTTTCAAAGATGCACGCCACAATTATTCAGAGGCTATAAATCCTAAGGTGTTCGACTAAAACTGGAGCCCGTTCGTGAAAACCCGCGCTCACAAACGGCTCCACCGCGTTGTTTGTTTTTCTCTCTCCTCCATCTTTTGTTCGCTTTCCTCCCAAAAACGGGCCAAAGCGTCCCGTGGGCCTACCGAGCGTGCACACGCACGCCCCACAAGAAGCACCCACGACCCCCACGACCCCCGCTCCTCTTGGCGCTACGACTAGGAATCACTACATCGTGTTGCTGGAAGGTGGCTGAAAAAGACGTTGGGGTTTTTTTTTTTGGTCGTTCCACAACTAAAACTCTCTAACGTTCTTATTACACACGAACTGATGAATGCTGCAGATTCGGAACCAACCACCGGGAAGTCTCTGCCGCTGCTTCGTCTTGGATCAAGTCCATGCGCGCGTCCGAGCTGCTCCTCCTGGCGTCGATTTGATTTTTAAAAGCGCCAACCGCACGGCAACCCGGCGTGGAGCGGAAGAACGTGAACTGGCGTCATTCGAATCCTCTCGCGCGCACGTGTTTTGTTGTTGTTGTCGTCGTCGTCGTAGTTTCGTTTAAAAACCAAAGGCCAACTATTGGCGGTAACCAAAGCAGCACCCGGCATCGACCAAAACGTCGTCCGTGTGGTTGCCCTCCGTGGCTGGAGACGGTAGTTGATTTAGGGGCTGTCGGTGGGTCCTGAAGGCCGCTGCTGCTGCTGCTGCTGCGGAGGAGGAGGGGGTGGGGAGGGGGTGGCGAGGTTTCGGGAGGCGGAGCGTGGAAGACGTTGGCTTCTCCCCGCGGTGCGCGTCACGCGTTGCTCGCCGCCTGCAAACGCACGCGCCGACGGACACGCGCACACATGGACATACGCGCACGCACGGACATACACACGCACGACACACGGACACGCCCACACATCCACAGACACACGGACACACGGACACACGGACACACACACGACAAGTGTTGGGGGTGTACGGAGGCTGTGAGAAGGTTGCAGAACCCCCAAGTGGCGTCCTGCTCTACTGAGCGGCGGGGGGGGGGCACCGTGCGCTCGTCTCCCCTGTCTACAGCCCGGAGCCGTGGCCTCTCCGGGGGGTCGAAGGAAGTCGGTGGTGTCACTTTGTGCGATACCAACCAAAGGTGGCGATGCTGCCAAGGGGCTGGCTTCGGGCGTAGGACTGTGGAACTTCCACCGCTGTCTTAGGACTGCAGACAGATACGAGGGGGCGACCCTGAAGCTCGTTTTAAAAAGGACGGAACATTTATACGTCCCGCTAAAGTTTTTTTTTAAATTTTTATACACGCTTTGCAGGTTTTAACAGAAAAAAATTAACTGTTGGCTTTGTGGGAAATTAATTATACTTTTTTTCAGGATAATTTTCATTCCCGGTTAACATTTTCCCTGTGCTTACACCCAACTATCATTCTTCTCTTCCTTGCTTCTGCACATTTCCCTGTACTTACCCAAGGTCTGCCTTGACAAACGGGACCCCCCCGGGCTCATCGTAACCGGCCTTCACTCGGGTGAATAAAAAGTCCATGACTGACGAGACGAGACGCACGTGAAGGGCTCACAAGTGACGTCACCACATCTACACCTCTAAGGAACGAAACAGGAGGATTTCTCCACAAATCTTGCTGTCGCCTGATGATGCTAGTTGTAATTACTGGCGAAACGTCGTACTCAGATTGTAAATGTTGTGGCTTGGCTCTCCAACACACCGGTGTGCTGTACTAGTGACGAATTGGCACGTTCTGTTTACGTGACAAACCTTACTAATTGGCAATGTCGGGTGGTGGCTGGTTTAACGACACATTTACACGATCTAACCATAAAAAAAATACATTATGGAGACAACATCACGTCCAAGCCCGAGAGAGAGCGTGGTGGGAGGGGACAGGCAGGCGTGGTTTCTCCGAGGATTTTGAGACAGGATGCAGCAGCTTTCAGACAAACACAAGCATAGCGGGCAAAGCGTTGGCAGCAAAGCACAGACGAGGAAAGGGTGGGGGATGGGGGGGGGGGATACCGATATGGGGAGCCGATCCGGCTAGATGTCACCAATAGAGTCCTCGAGCTCTGGGGATTACCCATCAAGATAGTGGCTGCACAGGGAGTGGCCTGTCTCCGATTCTGGTCAACGCACATTGGCGCGCATAAACCCTTTCCCAATCCGATTCCGCTCCGATGACGTACGTGTACGTTCTCGGAACAGAAATCGGAGTAAAATATTAAATAACTTAATTGGTACCGAGGGCTCTCACAAGGCCATGCGGGATGGCGTGTGGCACGGTTTGGCGCCAGCTATCACCGAGTGCAGGCGTGCCGCTACGGTTCTCTGCGGTGAGTAACAATATCTTTGAAAAACGGCGGGCCGCTATGCCTCTCCGAATATAATGTACGCCGAACCGCTGGCACGGTCCGAGATTCAGCGGTGAAGGGGACTGCCAACACCCCACAACTTAACGTGCACGCGCTGACAACACGGCTGGAACATGTGGCCTAGTTGGACTTGCTCCAACAGATGGCAACGGAGACCACTGGCACATTTTTGCCACAAAAAAATGATAAAGCAGTGCGTTCCAACACGGGAACTGGGCTTCACAGAGGCACCGGTTTGAGATAGGGGTTGATATTAGATGCGAGGTCGGTAATGGTGGTAGTTGTAACCTGATACACAGCAGCACAACGTCGGAATGTGATAGATGTTTTATAGGGTGGGTAGTTTCTGGAACTGGCGGGTAGTTGTTGCAAATCGATGTACAATTGAATACAATGACTCATTGTGAAACTCCATGGACTATGGGTAAATGCTTAAATTGATTATAGAACTCAATGGGTAATTCCTGCCATTTGAACGGTAACAAAAAAAAACCCATGGCTAACATTCTAAACTATAAATTAAACTATGTTTTATTTTACCAGGTAAGGCCCACTGAGCTATGTAGCTCTTTGTCAGAAACGACTTGGATACCAAGTCATCACAAATAATAAGTGGCTCATCACGTGGAAATTTATAGCAGCCAAATACTCTTAAATGAATGTTGATTCTAAATGCGGAGGGAGAAATCTGGGGACCTAGAAAATTCCACACGACCACGGCGAGAATACGAGAACTCCAAATATACAGCAGGTGTCAGGGGTCGGGGGGTCGGGATCGAACCCACGCCTTCCTGCATACCAGGCGAGGTAGTTAACATCTCGCTACCGTGGCACCCATTCAGCAAGGGAGGTGCTACAACGATTTTGGCGCCAGGCCACAGCTTCTCTCCCATCACCACCAGACTGGAACTCAACGACCTCGCTCTTTTTTTTTTCCCTGGAAAGGCTCCCTCATGCACCGGCTGGACAGGAGGGCCCCCACGGGGAAGACCACTACAAACGGATGCCGCCCGCCCATTTTCGCGTCGCCATCCCAATATTGGGCCCCTCCCTCGGCGGCGTCGGGTACCTTCGAGGCTCCGTGCCGTGCCCCCCCCCCCTCACCCACCACCCTCGCCGCCCATCTCCGTGCCGCGTAAATCGCGCCGCCGCCGCCGCGGCCGCCGCGGCACCCCCGCGGCCGCCGCCGCCGCCGCCGCCGCCGTCGTCGTGGTCAAGTGGCGGCGGCCGGACGCACCGCCCGGGGCCGGCGGCGCTGCAGGCGCCAGGCCAGCGTCAGCGGCGCGGCGTAAAGAGAGAGAGAGAGAAGCAGGTGCTCAGGGAGGCACAGGGCGGCGGGCCCCGCGCGCCCGGGCGAGCCGGCGCAGTCCAGCAGCGCCCACAGGCACACGTAACCCAGCTGGAAGGGCCAGTCGCGGGCCGGCGCCTGGCGCGGCCCACCTACCATGGGCTTGAGCTCGCGGCCCGCGTCTCCCGAGGCGCGACCCTCCTTGCGCTTGCGCTCCAGGTTGGAGAGCGCCTCCTCGCTGTTCTTCACGTACTCCTGCGGGGAGAGGAGGGCGAGGTCGGTGCACGCGTGGGCGAGGGGTCACCGTTTGCTCGCCGACCGAACGACCGGCGTTATGTTCGGCCCAGCGTGACGCTGTTCGGTACCCCAACGTAGGCGACAACTAAAGCGTGCGGAAATGCGCCGTACAAGTCACGGGTGTCATTCGCACCAACGATCTACACCGTATACCAGGGCCATAGTTATCAACAGCGCCATCGTCAACCCGGTGTTGAAAGTCTCCTCCCCATGCTGCTGCTCAAGAGGCTTTGCTTGACCATACTTCACCACACTGGTCAAAGTTCTCGACACAGTGTTATGAGCCGGTTATCTATCCATGTGCCTGTAGCCACCCTCCCTGTATCCGCTACGACCGCTCACCATGAGCGACTTGTCCATGTAGTACTCCCTGCCCGGCGTGCCGTCGTTGTGCTCCGTGTCGACGGCGAAGCACAGGAAGAGGACGTCCACGACGATCTCGAACACCGACAGGAAGCAGTGCGCCACCAGGTAGGCGAAGAGGCACACGAGCAGCAGGGGCACCACCCACATGTGGTAGTCGCGCTGGTAGTTGAGGATGAAGGCGCCCGCAAAGCCGGTGAAGCACACCACCAGGATCTGTGCGGGCACCACGGCAGCGAGATGTTTACTCCCCTCGCCTGGTATGCAGGGAGTCGTGGGGTTCGATCCCGACCCCGACGCCTGTCGTGTATTTGGAGGTTGCGTGTCTCTCTCCCCGTGGTCGTGCGAGTTTTTCTCCGGGTCCTCCGGTATTTCCCTCCAGCGTTTAGAATCAACATGAGCGTTTGGCTGCGATGAACGTCCACGTGATAGGCCACTTCGTTGAGTTATCATTTGTGATAGCCAGGTCGCTTCTGAAAAAGATCTGTATAGCTCGCTGGGCCTTACGTGGTCAAATTAAAATAGTTTTCTTTAGAATGAAAGACAACGCGGGCAACGTTGCAGAAGCGGAATCGGAATCTTTATTCAGACTGGATGAATCCCACGGGAGAATCCACAGTGGCGATCCTTTGGAGACCTCCCCAGCTATAGGAATGTCATGGGGTGCACAACATCATGAGCCCACAGTGTGTCATGTCACAGCTCATGATTCAGTGTGACAATACAGTGTTGGTGTCACACTTCACAGTGTCACATGCTCATGATTTCAGCATCCCAGCTCATCGATCAGTGTCACGATTCAGTGTCACACGTGACAGTGCCACACCCCACACTTGGGTGCCACACGTGACAGTGCCACACCCCATACTTGAGTGTCACACGTGACAGTGCCACACCCCACACTGGGATGTCACACGTGACAGTGCCACACCCCACACTGGGGTGTCACACGTGACAGTGCCACACCCACACTTGAGTGTCACGTGACAGTGCCACACCCCACACTGGGGTGTCACACGTGACAGTGCCACACCCACACTGGGGTGTCACACGTGACAGTGCCACACCCACACTTGAGTGTCACGTGACAGTGCCACACCCCACACTGGGGTGTCACACGTGACAGTGCCACACCCACACTGGAGTGTCACACGTGACAGTGCCACACCCACACTTGAGTGTCACGTGACAGTGCCACACCCCACACTGGGGTGTCACACGTGACAGTGCCACACCCCACACTGGGGTGTCACACGTGACAGTGCCACACCCCACACTGGAGTGTCACACGTGACAGTGCCACACCCACACTTGAGTGTCACGTGACAGTGCCACACCCCACACTGGGGTGTCACACGTGACAGTGCCACACCCCACACTGGGGTGTCACACGTGACAGTGCCACACCCCACACTGGAGTGTCACACGTGACAGTGCCACACCCCACACTGGGGTGTCACACGTGACAAAGCCACACCCCACACTGGGGTGTCACACGTGATAGTGCCACACCCACACTGGAGTATCACACGTGACAGTGCCACACCCACACTGGGGTGTCACACGTGACGGTGCCACACCCCACACTGGGGTGTCACACGTGACGGTGCCACACCCCACACTTGAGTGTCACACGTGACAGTGCCACACCCCACACTGGAGTGTCACACGTGACGGTGCCGCACCCCACACTGGGGTGTCATTCCCTCTCACCTTGGCCATGAAGAGCATGAAGTCGCCGACGCAGTTGATGGCGGCCACGCGCAGCGCGTTGGAGACCAGGATGGTGAGCGCGTCACGTGCCGACGAGCAGAAGCTGGTGCCGTTGATGGCCGTGGCCGTGTACGCGTTCTGCAGCACACGGAGACGCACGGAGCCAGAGCGAGTTTCATCAGCAGCGACAAGGGGCAGAACCCGTCACCCAAACTCCGGTCAGCAGAGGCGGCGGCGGCTTTCGGCGAACCACTGAACGGGTGCGCGCTCTCAGATACGCTTCTGCGGCCGTCTGGAACGCTCTTTCCTCCGATATTAGGAAGCCACTGGAGCTGTGCACTTTTCAATCGCATAGATTTAAAACTAATTTCTTAAGAACTGCTAATTATGTTTAGTTTGGTGTCCTTCCCCTGTCCCCCCCGCACATCGAGTACGTTGCAAAATAAGTTAATCGTACATACATACAACACCATTTAATGAAGAACTCGCATAATCGAGCGTACAATATCCACCATTGGGCCAAGGCTTCCCCCGTATAGCCGACGATTCGGTCTACTGCAGTCGCACTTAGCCGCGAATAACTCCACCGATTGGGCAACTTCAACGGCGCTACGGAATGAGAATATTTTTTAAAATCCAATTGTTTCCCAAGCTACCGAGAGGATTTGTAAGATTCAAGTCTATCTAAAAGGCCATTCGCTCGTCGCGCTCGGCAAGTCAAGCGATGTCCGGGCTACAACGAGCACTGGGCGGGAACTCGCCACCATCTCCGAGCCAGTGGGGGAAATTCCACATTCCTGTGGTGGGGACCGGTCATTGCAGGGGACGACCGCCGTCGACTTTCCCACGATGCGGTCGGTACTCGTTTAATCAACCCTGCAGTGACCACGGCCGGCTAAAATCCAACCGTCGGGCGGGACCCGAACTCCGCGACCTTCTCGCAATCGCGGCACCAACACGGCACGACGCCGTCTCTCCGCAGGACCCTGCACCGTCGCTACTGGCAGTCGCGCGCTGCCTCTGCGGAGGCCGGGGGGGGGGGTCGTTGAGGGCACGGGCGACGCCGTTACCACGTGGGGCCGGTTGCACGGGTTTTGTGCGGTGTCGCATAGCCCCCGACCCCCCTCCCCCACCACCACCTCCTCCTCTATACCACTTGGCTCTGCTGGAGCAGAGACCACCTTGGCGTTGGTCGTTTGAAGCAAGTCGACAAGACGGGAGAACTCTGGCCCGGTTTTGACACAGTGTAGTAGCATCATCAGCAGTCAGGCTTGCTGGAATCAATGCCGGTGGGCTGCCAGATGTAACAAAGATGCTATATTTAAGCTATGGGTTGAGGATATAGAGAGAGAGATGGTGCTTGCCCATAACATCTGGTAAATCTGGCAGTTGCTGAAACAATGCGCTCCCCGAATGCTGCACCTCCAATTAGTACGGTTGGCTACGTATGGTGCGAAAGAAGTTCAATATAGATACATGCATGCCATGGGGTGGGTGGAATGAGTAAAAAAACACTGGTAGTTTATGTGGAGACGGATTTATGAAGGAGGAGACGTCTTGCCTGCTGATCAATTTTGTTACTTATGTAATAACAGTAGAGTCAACCTATGGTATGAGTGGACTAGTGGCCACGGGAGGTAATGACAGGGGAGTCAGCCTGCAGTACGAGTGGACTGGTGGCCACGGGAGGTAATGACAGGGGAGTCAGCCTGCAGTACGAGTGGACTAGTGGCCACGGGATATGACAGGGGAGTCAGCCTGCAGTACGAGTGGACTAGTGGCCACGGGATATGACAGGAGAGTCATCTTGCAGTACGAGTGGACTGGTGGCTGCGGGAATGATCGAGAATAGCAGCGTGGCCAGGTGACGTAAGAGGACGGTGGAGTCTGCTGGTAGAGCGAGCGGTCTAGAACCAGCGAGAAGGTTCGGGAATGGGGGCGTGGCCTTGGACCGTATATAAGGGAGATGTGCAGGAGACTCGAGACTGTTGCGGTGGGGGTCTCCGCCTGTTCGAGCGTGAGCACGTGGCTCCTTAAATGAAGAAACCATCTCGAGGCAAGTGCGTCCAAGTCGTCATCACACTTTCATTTCCCACAACAACGCTCAGGATTATTCTGTGATATCCTACAAAGATAAATTATCCTCTCATTCCCCTAAACTTACTGGTGGAATATTATTGTGCAAACATACCACGTTATCTTTTATTATTAATATTTACGATTTAGAATTGATATTTGGGTTAGGCCACGTAATCATCTGGTCAAATTCGTGTTGAGACCCTCCACCACCCAACGCCCAAACAAGTTGAATCGTTACACGGTTAAGTGTTGAACAAGGTGTCGATTATATTATTATCGTTTCAGCTCACTGTTAAGTTTACGTAAAAATTCCCACAACCAAATTTTTGTCATTTTATGGGGAGTTTGCGTGCGAAACATCATCAGGACAAGAGGCAGGAAGTCAGAAATAAATAAAAACAAAGCCCTTACCTGGTTCAGGTACTTGAGACACTTTTCCAAACACCAAAGGCAGCAGATGCAACACTTCAGCATGAAGTTGGTGCACGCATTTTCCTGCAGGCGTAAACACAGCAGAGTGGCAACTTTCATCTCATAACTGCCACTCGTTAATATTACAGCGTCGTCGTCGTCATTACTACAGTGGATCTTCGATTATCCGGCTTCCAACATAATCCAGCGGTCCCAGTCTGATTCAGGGAAACCGAAAAAGCCGCTCCAAAGGCTGTAACCAGTCTGGAAATGGTCAAACAAATGCTGTTGTTTAAACAATAGCGTAGGACGTACATCACTCCATGCAGAGTCTTCGAGATTGGTGGAGTAAGTACGGTACGGTAAATACGGTAACCTTTTACAGAAGGACATTTAACCACGCAGTTATATTTACCCGATCTAACCCAAAACCCTCTATTATGGAAGATATTCATTTTGTCTATTTGTATGTTTATTAATGCCATGTAGTAAAACACAGATGTAAAACACTAAAAACATATGCACAACACCTAAAAACACGTTATACAAGAATGTAAAAAAAAAACCCAATGATTAGTGATTATCCGGCATTTTTGAAAATCCGGCGCCCCCATTCCTCCCAGAAGCCACTGGATAATCGATGATCGACGGAATAATTACTGCTGAGTTGCTACAACATGCAAGTGTGCATGACTGCAGGGTTCGTGGCCAATGCATGGTCACGGTGACGACGACGATGATGAACGTGCATTCAAAATCGTGTGTACCGTTTACTCCCAAAGAACATTACGGCATAAAAAAACCCGCCTTACGGTGAGAAGAGGGAACATGATTAAAACGTTAGAACAAAATAGGCAGACCAAATGCCTCCTTCACACATCTCTCCCCCCCCCCCACGTGAACAATAATATAAAATGTACACATCCCATCAGCCATAAATAGAGGTTTTTTTTGGTGTTAGATCTCACAAATATAAATGTGTCGTTAAACCCGCCGTGACCCGACACAGCCAATTAGTAAGGTCGGTCACGTAAACAAAACGTGCAAGTGAGTGACTACCTCAGCACGCCGGCGTATTGGAGAGTAAACCAACAGCATTCACAATTCACGTTTTATTCACGTAAAAAAAACCTTACCAAACATCCCATCAGCCACACAGCCTCCTGGGAATGCATAGGGAGGCCGTTCAACACAGGCAGAGTGCTGGGAACGAGGAGACGCGGCGTACCGTGCCCTTGAGCTTCTGGTGAATGTACATGAGGACGAGGCGTGGGATTTTGACGAGGGTGATGATGAAGGAGCCCTTGGCGACCGTGCCCAGGTGGTAGAGCAGCAGCCGCTTTATGGACGACAGGATGGGCGTCATCGGCAGCTGGCTCTTGTTCCTGTGCGCGCCCGGCACGGCGCGTGCGGAACAACGGCATATCCGGGGGTTCAATTAAAATTGCAAATAGAAGCGCCGATTCTCGCACGTCCCGAGATGAATTTGGCCTACCCAGCGTCGTGTTATACTCGGAATCGGTATGTTTATTCGTACTGGAGGAATCCTATGAGCTGTAAAGTTATTTCTCAGAAATGTCCAGTAGGGGCGGGTCAGACATTTACAACAACAGACAATACAAAAACACGATAGGGAGTGGAAATGGGTAGCAGCCAAATACTGTAATCTCATACTCTTTGGTTCTATTCGGTAAAGTCACCTACGTGACTTTGGTTCTATTCGGTAAAGTCACCTACGTGACTTTACCGAATAGAACCAAAGAGTATGGATCCTTGCAGTCACGAAAGCTTCAAATCTAGAAACTCTAAACTCATGTTTGTAAATGTGGAGGGGGAAACCGTAGGACCCGGAGAAAAAAATACACGCGACCACAGAGAGGACACGCAAACTCTAAATATACAGCAGCAGACATCAGGGTTGGGATCGAACCCACGACCACCTGTATACCTGGCGAGATAGTTAACATCTCCTAGCCACCGCGGCGCCCCTGCCGTGTGACAATACACAAAAGTGAAAACACTCCCCCCCCCCCCCCGTCACCATTGTGCTTCTGTCAGATCCAACAATGGTTTCAAACGCGTGGCGGCCCTCCTCACACTGATGATGTCTTAACGGCGAAAGTTGGGCACCCCCCCCCTTGTGCAAATTAGTGAAGAACACTGCGATAGTGCCTGTTTGATGCATGACGTAGGGCCTGTTGCCAGAAACTATTATTCTATTATTACTTTTAAGGCAGCGGTGTTATTGAGTAACGTGCTTTCTGCGCCACTGCCAATGCAATGTCACTCAACGATTTGTGTTTTATCCCTGGTGGCTGCCTATCCCCAGCACCATCCAGGCTCATAACTTTGCTGCTTGATTTGTGAATTGCGATTTAGATCCAGCGTATTCCAGGTGATTTTTTTTTTTAACAAAGGGCAAGTGTTTTGAAACTTTTCTGAGCCGGTGCTCGTGGAGAGCATTTTGATTCGGGATCATTCGGATTATCTTGACTGCTATAGGTTTCCACGTGATGATAATACAATTTGTTGAGCTATCATTTGTGATAGCCAGGTCGCTTCTGAAAGAGACGCTAACAAAGCTCAGTGGGCCTTACCTGGTAAAATTAAAAATAGTTTTAGACACGCAAACTCCAAACATACAGCGGGCGTCAGGGTCGGGATCGCACCCACGACCTCCTTCATACCAGGCGAGGGAGTTAACATCTCTTAGCCACCGGCCGAACGAGCAAATTGCCAGGAAGCGATCGCGAGCCCTTGCCTCGTGAAGTAGTAGGTGACGACGCTGCCGGCGATGGCCAACTGCTGGCACGCGAGGATGAACTCGCTGACCCAGATGAGTCCGACCAGGTGGTACCACCACATGTAGCGCACGGGACCCACGAGCTGGTACTCCACAAAGCCCTGGTCCGTGGTGGACGGGTCACCTGTTCCAACGAGCAGCAGCAGCAGCAGAGGAGCCACCAAACCCCACCGTGGGTCATCACAACAAACTCGTGGCGTGTACAAAACAAACGCCCCCCACGCCCATGTAGCGTTAACAGACGGTTGGGGCAAGCGCTGTTAGTAAGTAGCACCGATGAAGGCTGGCGTGGCACACGGGTAGGTGGGGTGGCCAGCACCACCCCCCCCCGGCCACCTTTGTCTCCCCAGTGGCGATGATAATGCACCCCCGCCAGGTACTCATTTGAGGCCGAGTCGACCTAGGGCGAGGCCCAGGAATGGTTCAGATCATCCTCACTGGTGCTGGTGGCCGTGAGCGGGAACTCAATCGCCGGGTTCATGGCGCAATGTGCTAACCACTGCATCACCACTCCCCCACTGTATGATACATACAAAAACACACACACACAAACAGAAATGTCCCTCCAAACGCACCGCTAGAGACTGCTGAAACAGGTGCTGTTAGGGAACGTGCATTAAGGTCCGCTTGGCGGTCTTGGCAGTGTCCCGCCAAGGCGGACCATTCAAGGCCTTAGCTAACAGAGGGGAGGTCCGTGGATAGGTTCGGATACCATACGCGACTGATCCACGGTCGCTGGGAACTGAACTCCGGTTGCTGGGAGAGCGGCGCAGCACACGGCCCGTTCCGCTACCCACTCTGCGCGTGTCCCCGTCACCGCGCGGACACGAACAACCGCGGCCAACGCCTTCCACCAGGAGGCCACTTGTGCCAGGCTGGGTGCACCGCCCCGAGGCCGCGCAGAGTGGCCAAGGCTCACTGGCAGGACGTCTCGAGACCAAGCCAGCTGTGTGTCGACAGGCTGAGGTGGCTGGCTCGCTTCGCAACACTTTGCGCTCCCCTCCACCACCGAGCCAGGCCAACGTGTTTAATCTGACCGAGCGCTCGCTTCTCCGCATTTCGTGAAATGTTTTAAAATGAGCTTGATTCGCGCGTTGATTTGCACAGCGGCTCGAGTCGCTTGGACGAACCCGCAGCTGGCAACGCCGACACTTTTTCTAATTGAGATAAATTGTTTTTTTTTTACTCTCAAGCGTTGGCTGTTGGGTCACGCAGCGATGGTTGTGTTGAACGAGCACTTTCACCAAGCGCTGTGACAATTGCCGCCCGCTTAAAAATTAATGTGCCTCGTCAGTAGAGGTCACTACTATCTCCACAGAATGGCCACTTGTTGACTTCCCAAAAAAACGGTAACAAATATTTAACAACGATGGGACAATGGTTGGTTCGAGTCAACACCTAACCAGGATTTAAACTCAACTTTATGATTGCTAGTCATGTACTTTTTAACCACTGAGTGCCACAGGACACTTAATTATACATGCAGTGAAAAATGATGACCTTGTTATTCGGATTAGGGCATCACATTATTGAAGCTCAGGGAAAGACGCATGGCTTAATATTAAAGTACAGTCTGTGCTCGTTATTTAGCGAAGCAATTTCCTTCGTCACACTTTCAACGACTGAGCGTTATCTGATACGTTACGGTGTGTGGCACCTCGTTGCCTCAAAGGTTGTAGGAAAAATGATCAATTCCGTATCTAGGTGCAGAATTTTGTGAAAGAAATGAGAAAATACTCTTGGCACGCACTCACTGAACCAAGCAAATCAACAGGCGAAAAAAGTTCAAGCATTATAAATCCAGAGTACCAAATCAAAAGTAATGATTTTTTCTTAGCTTCTATAAACAGCCACGAGGCATTTGTGGCCAGGTCGCTTCTGAAATAAGAGCTGTATAGCTCAGTGGGCCTTACCTGGTAAAATAAAAAAGGAGATAAATAGAGAGATGTGTGATTGGCTATAGGAGCCAACATTGCCTCTTAGGAAGAACTCGTGACCAGCTATAGTAGCCAACGTTGCCACCAGGGGGCACTGGCAGGAAATCTTTTAGACGTCTCAAAACGAGCTTTGCAGGTCCAAATGTTGATCAGTGGTTGGACTCAACCCATCATCATCATCATTGCTCTGGGCTCGACAAAATAGGTACCGTATTGTGAGAAGTCACCACACGTGGTTGCTCCTGTGGAGGCTGCCAAAGGAATGTAGGAAAATACACAAATGGCTCGGAGGGGGCCTCCAGAGTTGAGTAACCAACCACAGGTTCGGGTGTGCATTGAGACACTGTCACATGACCTTGACGTACAGTCGTGCTGCTGTTAATAATTCGTGGCTTCGTTTAAAAAAAATGCTTAGCTGGAAGTACTTTGCTAAACGAAGTAGGTACTTTTCGGTTAAGTACATAAGACTTTTGAAAAACACTTCATATTCAGGACCAGTGCACGTTTCAATGCACTTGCATTGCGCTCTAAACCAAAGCCTCGACACTGAAATGTACGCAGAGGAGCATGCGTGCTATGCGACATTCCGTTGCCACACACACCCACCCACCCACACGCATACATACATACAATGGCAGTGTGCATTGTATTCGGAAGGGCTGGTTTTATCATCTAAAACACTGGCTCCTTACAAAGTCACAAGCCCCCTTGACACCATGAAAGGGGTCGCTCTGATTTTGGTACAACCATCGTTGGCTTCCCCTCGGTTGCTTCAGACGAGCGTGCAGCTACCGCTTGTAAACTTTACAACTTCAAATAAACTTTACAACTTTAAATAAACCCGAGAGGCCGCAGCGGCGGCGGTGGAAAAACACAGGCGGAGAAGACGTAACTGCTGTTGCCACAGACTCGTAGCTCGAAACACATTAAGCGCTGTCCGTACTCTGTGCTATGAGGAGGTCCATTGCGTACAGCCACCCCTCTCGGGTCAATGTGTCCCCGCCTCTGCTCAAACGAGCAACATGGGCGAAGCGGCTCTGAGAGCCAGTGGTGGCAACGCCAAGTGCCCCCGTGATGGGCACCGGTCGTTCTATGCAACAGACATCGGCGATTGCTCACGAAGGGGTGCTCAGTTGATCAGGACGAGAGGTGCTGAGCTTTCAATGGTGCCACGTTGGCGAGACGTTGACGAACTCGCCTGGTATACAGGAGGTCGTGGGTTCGATCCCGGCCCTGACGCCTGTTGTATATTTGGAGTTGGCATGTTCTCCCCGTGGTGTCGACTTTTCTCCGGTTTTCCCCTCCACATTTAGAATCAACGTGCGTTTAAGAGCGTTAGGCTGCTAGAAATTGCCACGTGAAAAGCCACTTCGTTGAGCTATTATGGCTCAATGGGCCTTACTTGGTAAAATAAAAAATAGTTTAGTTTGAGTAATTTCTGGGATTTTAATTTCCAACGATCTGGCTGAGAGACAGGAACCTCTTACATCTCCACTTGACGAGTAATATCGCCGTCAACACCAGGCGCGACCAATTTATTTCCGCAATTCCAGAGACGGCGAACGTACGCGACGATTGCAACACACACCAGGTGCGTTGTTTCCAGCCCGTGCGAATAATCTTGCAACGAACGTCTCAGCAAGCGCACGCACCGCCACATTGAAAGCGACTCTGTGCAATCTGGGCACACGGCCAGCAAAAAGGGACGGCTACTCCGTTTCACTTCGTCGGGGGTCATCGAAATCGCCTTGTCGCCAGTAAGCGAAGGCGGCGGGCGTGCACACGCTGTCCCCGAGACCTTAAAAACCAAACAAAAATCGCTCGCTGGAGAGCGAACGCTTTGGGAGAAGGCGCATTTGTTAACCTTTTCGTCAAAAAACCACACGGGGCACAACCTGCCTAACAATTTGACCGGCAACTGCTCCGAGTGCCTGGGAAGCCTGGACCGCGAGAGGTTGTACCAAATTAGGCCCCACGTGTTTCCCGCAGGCGAAAGCGAAGCCACCGGAGCGGCGAGACCACCCGGCCTCGCCGCTGCTCATTAAAAGCCGAGCGGAAGCGGTTATCGACTGGTTATTGGCAGACAGTGACGCGAGCTGTTACGAGGCAAGCATTCCGCGAGGGCGACTCGGGAGGACGACGACCTCCGTCTTTCGTTTCCTTTCTTCTCGTCAGACAAGAGGTGAATCTTCCGCCCGTTGGCCCAGAGCCGACCTGCTGCTCCAGCTTTGTGTGGTTGAAAGAGCTGTGGCTTCGATTCGTGCATTGATATAGAAGTTCATGCTCATGTGTGCAGGAAACACAACGTGAACATCTCTGCTAGTTTCAACCAATGAGTTGTTTCATGGCAAGGAAGGACACCGCATGAATACACGAATTGCATAAAAATGGTCAGAAGGTAGTGGCGCTCTTTTTTGGCGGAAAGATTCAGTCAACGATCATGTGATTCACCATTACACCAACACATGCCCGCCCCATCTGGAAGGAGCATTTTTAAACTGGGAGCAACAGTTACAAGACAACTTACACGCAGCTGTTAGTGAGCGAGTCACAGTACATTTAAAGTCACAACCACGGGATTCCAACGTCGCCAACGCTACCCGTCTCAATGCCAGCTTCAGGGTGCGTGTCGTGTTCTGAAAGCCTTTCATCAAGCCCGCAGGCTTGATGAAAGGCTCAATGAACTGTACATCGCACATCAACACGTTCAATTTAAACAGACGGCGGCAGGGGCAACGTCAACTCAATTAAAACTGCCGTGATCGTGCCTTTCAGATAACGGGGGGGACGGCAACTCCAACCCCCATCAGCCTAGCAACAGCCCATCTCTCCAGAACTACAGCCAACCATCATTTGACCAATCAAAACCTCACTAGACCAAATAGACGTCCAATGACACGGTACGTATCTCACAACGTAGCGTTTAGCTCGCTTGTGGCATTAAGAGCGTGGCGGCTGGCAGCGACGCACGAGGCAGCGCCGGGCGCACGTTGGGCGCACGTTAGCGTCGAGAGTTGGGCACTGTTCCTGGCCTGGCAGGTGCCGAGTTCTCCATCATCGCTTCCTCAAGCTGGGCGCACACCCTAGTGGACTGAGAGCCCGAAGACTCGATAAAAAAAAACATCGTCCACCCGATGCTAATCGAGGACCAACGTGTCAGGTTCGCCACGGTGGCGAGGAGATGTTAACTGCCTCGCCTGGTATACAGGAGGTTGTCGCTTCGATACCCGACCCTGACGCCTGTATATAAAATGGAGCTTGCGTGTTTCTCTCCCTCTCCCTCCATGGTTGCGTGGAAATTTTCTCCGGGGTCCGCCGGAGATGCTCGTAAATTTCACGGATTATATTGGACAAAAAAAAACCCCTATATTTTTTGTCACGAGTAACCTAAAATAAGTACTTGAAAAAAATATACTAAATACATAAAAATTATCATAACACTAACTCTCATCATTTCACCTCTCACCACTTTCTCATCACAATCTCTCTCATCAATTTATTTCTTCCTCTCTCTCTCTCTCGATGACCAGTAGTTCGCGTAGAGGTTCCAGATGCCATTCAAGGAGAGCCAAAATTACGGACAGAGCAAGTTCGTGAATAACGAGGGAGTACTGCATAGCTCCCGGGGCATTACCTGGTAAAATAAAAAAAATATATAGTTTGTTAGTTTGTCAGTTTCGCTCAAGTTCGCAAACACCCACTGGTGTAACAACACCCTGTTCCGTCCATCGCAATTCCTCCAGTCCCGGCCGTGGCGATGCCAAGGTTGTGCGCCCAACTTCCGAGCGACCGTTACGCGTGCACATCGCCACCCAACGCAGGGGTTGGGAAAGCCGGCTCGGCTGCGCACGCGAGGATCAACAGACTCCTCGGCGGCAGACGAAAGCGACGTGCTAATCGCGAAGGCGCACGACACCCACAGACAATACAACGGGCGCGCCAGCGCGCAAACGGACTTTGCGGGCAAGGGCGAGCCAGCGCGTGACGCTTGGTGAGCTCCACCGACGACGTGAAAAATGTGCCCCCCCCCCCCCCAGTTTTGACCACCCTCTCAAAGGTTTTCAACATACCTGCCGGGCCAGGTGCCGCAGGAACCTCTGAAATTCAACAGAACCAGTGTGAAGGGGGGAGAGGCAACAACACAAGAGGGCATTCGAGGGCAAATGCCCAACAATCAACGCGGGAACAGCACTCATCGACGCCAGGATCCCCCGCCTCGCAAGTTGCCTGCAAAGTGGAACCCCGAACAATTACACGGCGACGTATAAGACCAGTCTAGGTGTCTAGTTCCAAATCATGTTTTTCTTATTATTACTAAAACTACCACAACGAGTCAAAGCATCTCCCTGCTCGTAGAAGAACGAGGAGGTGTTCATCTCCATTTGGTGGCCCTGAGCCGGTGGTGGAAATGTCACATTCCCTTGGCGGGGCAGTGTAGATCCATGGGACCATCAACTTCATGGGGAAGCCACTGGAGCGGTGCACTTTTAATTCCAGATTGAAAACTCATTTATTTTTTTGTGTTAAATTTGTTGTCCTTCCTCCGATTAGCGAGGTTGGCTACGTAACGGTGCAAAAGAAGTCCAATATACGTGCGACTTATTGACATCCTACAAATGTGGTATACCCATAGCCGTGCGACGAATTGACCTGTGACCTGGATTCGAGTTTCCCAACATCCGACTGTGAAAAGAGCACATTCCCCCACAGCAGACTGTGACGGTTGAAAACGCTCACTTAAAAAAAATATTACGGTTCAGGTTTTACGCAAAAGGTGGAATCGTAAAAAAAAAAAATCGGGGCTGGGTGGGAAATTGCGATTGGCTGGAGGACACTCGACACACATTCGGAAATATGACTCGGGACTATCGGCCCACTGCGGTCATTTAAAGTACATCCAAATAGGCTTGTAGCAAGTCAACAGGCAGCTGTCGCGTCTTGGGAGGGTAGAATATCAACGCGCGACTCAACAGGCGCCAAGCGGAGATGAGCGGACACTCTCGCGCGCTCGTTGGGCACAGAGAAACTTTCAACGCGGTATTTTTTTCTGTGGCGCGACCGTCGATGGTGGACGCCAATCAACCACAAATTTGCAGCTCATCGCATGCCTTGTCGCTCTTTGGGGGCCTGACCACCCCGTCTTGTGAGAAGTGTTAAGGACTTGACGATAATCACCGGCGCGCACGCACGCACCGAACAACCAGACCCGCGAAGCATACGCGTGCGTCGTTACTTGTGAGAAGCAGAGGTGACTGACGGAGGTCGAAAATAATTGTGCGCTTTGTACATTGCCGGAGTTGCCGGCATGGGTGCGATAATTGTACGTGCAGAGAAGAGAACAAAAATACCACCTGAAATTTTGAATCACGCTGTAAAATAAAATCCTCCGTAAAAGATTACTTTTTATGACCACGCTCACCTCCGGTGGGTCCGTGGGTACACGTTCCGTTGGGATATGGTCGCTACCCCATTGTTGCAATTATTGCGGAGATGACGCAAAATACAAACTAATGTTTTATTACCCAAACTGTAAATGTTTAATATGCAAGTTCCCTGTAAACTTTGAGTTGGCGGGTGGAAACTGCATTTGCCGAAGGTCGACACAGCAATTTTGATGCAAATTTTATTGACTTCAGAGGAACGATTGGTGAAGTCATTCACCCAAAGTGGTGTTTTAGAATTTTGCGACGTTCCAATTGTTGAGTCAAGTAACCCCCCCCCCCCACCGGGGCACTGTCATCTGCTGAAAATACAGCGGATGACACGACTGGGGCTGTGTGTCAAACGAGCAATGGGGACGACTTATTTCTATCGGCCGCCCTGAACCTAGCGTTAAAACCTAACATTGTCACGGGGGCAACCCGTCCGGAGGATGACCGCCTCTGGACTTCTCCGCAGTGGCGCACTCAATGCATCAAACCCCACAGCGACGATGGGCTGGGTCCCAAAGCAGGGATTTTTTTTCGTGAACTCGCATTTATTTCCAAAGACAAAATGCCTGAAAGCAAAGTGGTTTTGAGACCCCGGCACACGGCCTCGAGGAGGGCGGAAGTGCAAAGGGCGTGCTGGGGAGGGAGGAAGAGTGGAAGGGAGGAAGGGAGGGAGGGAGAGAGGGAGGGAGGGAGGCACCTGCAGTTCCCAGGAGCAGCAGCACGGCTATCCAGTAGACCCAGAAGATGAGCAGTGCTATGAAGGTCCACAGGGGCTGCAGCATGAGTAGAGGCATGTGGATGAAGACCTTGCCGGCTGTGTGGAAGAGCGCGATGGTCAGCTTGACGCGGGACCTCAGCACCAGCATGATCAGCAGCAGGATCACCTATACGGCCCGGGAGGGAGAGAGAGTTCGGTTGCAGGGTTTTTTTCAATGTCAGTGCACGTGCGGAGTGGTGGGAGACCCAGTTGGAGATCCCGCTCCAAGCTGTAACTGTGAAAAACTGCAATCAAGAGGAGGAAGTTGCTTTGAGCGGCATGTCCTGTACGCACGTTGAACTTCTTTCGCACCGTACGTAGCGAACCGCGCTCATCGGAGGTGCTCATCTGAAGTGCGAGGGGGTAAGCACAAGGACATGCGATGGAGAGTGAATGTGAGTTCCTGACCTCCAAGGAGCTGGGAATTCCGGAGCCTGGGTACCTTGCAAACAAACGCCCGGTGATCACCCCCAGATTAGATGGTTGGAGAGCACAGCCCGTCATTGAGAAGGGGGGGGGGGGGGAGGCATGATTGGTACATCTCAGAGATAGTGGCGATTTGGATTGGAACAGTGGTTTCTGATGAATGGGATGTAACAGTGATTTGGATTGTAGCAGTGGTCTTTGACGAATGGGATGGGACGTCTGTGTAACGATGAGACGGCGGCGACGGACCCTCGGGAGGCCCGATGTCACCCGTCGATGTAAGCGGCGACGAGGTGCGGTGGGGGCATCAATGGAATTTGGCTGTGCGCACCACCACCCCCCCCCCCGGACTTGGCCTTCGCTGTAAAACGAAGGCGTCGCAGAGCGCTTTGTCAGCGGAAACGGAAGGAGGTCAAGGAGGCCGACAGCTCTGCCGCGCGTACCGACAGCTTACCGTGAAGACGGTGGCGATGATGGCGTAGATGAGGAGGCCCTGCTCGTTGCTCTTGACGATGGGCAGCTGCGGCAGCGGGAGCGTGGTGTTGCCGGACGCGCGGTACTCGGCGTACATCCACCACAGCACGCCCGTCCCCGCTGGGAACACAATGCCAGGCACGGTCCCCGTGAATGAGCGCCGCCGGCACGGCCGCGGCGCGCCACAGGCACCCGTCGCAACGTGGCAACTGCGGGTCACGGTTTCGTCCCGCTTGGAGCACGGCTCTCCGGCCTTGGTGCCCCACTGGGGCTCCATTTCCCAATGCTCCCACCACAGTCTAAGCACTGCCGTTGTTTTGTTTTCCCCGTGCGGTCCTATACACCACGCACGAGAGGCTATGTGCCGTGGAGATGGAGTGATGAAATCAGTTCGGGTGGATTATCACATAGCAGGACCGTGAGAGTTGGCGGTGGCCTTCATCCAGCAGTGGACTGACCATGATTCATATTAAAACAAGTGACTGAAAACACAACAAAAAGCTACCTCCTTGAGATTGGTGAGAATGTGCAACAGTCTGGAGGGATGGAAGTTTTAAACGTGGTTTTACGTCCCTGGTTTAGTCACGATAGTTAAAAAAAAAGATTAACTTATTACCCTTTGTGAATGCGGCGAGTCTCCTTGGTTAAACAAATGGCGGTGGAAGTGTAACACTGCCAACAGCACCAACCAATCAGGATACAGCGAAACCACTGACCCCTGTCGACCCACTCGGATTACTTGCTTCTATAATTGCCGTGCATAATAGTTTTATTGTCGACCTTTGCACCCCCGCGGCTGTTAAACTTCGTAATTTATTATCACTATCATCTGTCTTCCCACTTGAATACAACTTGCACGGCTCAACATTTCATTTGCTCAAGCAGGTGAGCACTCAGGGAGGGGAAAACGGGGCAGAGTCTCATCCATAATACAGGTTTTTTTGGGTTAGATCGCGTAAAACCCACCACCACCCGACACAGCCAACTAGTAAGGTTTGTCACGTAAACAGAACGTGCCAATTCGTTACGAGTACAGCACACCGGTGTGTTGGAGAGCAAATCCACAACATTTACAATCTGAGTACGGCGTTTCGCCAGTAATTACAACTGGCATCATCAGGCGACAGCCAGATTTGTCTCTCATGTTGCACGCATAACCTGGGTTCACCCAAAACGACAGAAGCCAAACAAAAAAAATGCGCCAAACGAAGCAAAATGTGAATCGGGACAAAAAAAAAAGCGGTAACCCGCGGAGGGATCGAAAATATCGCACATACAGAAAACACAAACAACAATAACAAAATCGACGTCACGAAAAATGTATTCCTTCGGCGCAACCAGGTCAGCTCGGGCAGATCATTTTTAGATTCGAGCATAGCAACGATGAGAACAGGCTATACGGGACTGACATGTGTCTAAAACGGGACTCTCGAATATCCGCACTAATGACAGCCGCGGATAATTCAAAATCGCGGATGACCAAAAAATAAAAATTTTCCGCGGATCTCTATGCCAAAAAGTATCGGTCGACCGATCGACGATGCGCATGCTCAGTGTTCACACTTCCCTGCTCCCGTGCAAAAAACTCAGCCCGCTGAGTGGACAGCAGCAGAGCCATGCCAATCAACATCAATCAAACTCTGCACGCTGTTGTAAATATATGCAACTACTGTACTATGGAGGTGATCACGTGGATTTCGGATTAACCGGAGAAAGATATTTGTTCGGTTGAAGCACGCGACTTGTGATAAACATTTCCAAGTACAACAATGTACAACTGCTTTTAGATTATTCATTTAGGCGCAAGGGAAAATCCACGAGTCATTAATTAATTTTGATTTAAAGCTTTCGTGATTGCAGGGATTCATATTCTTGGTTCTTTCGGTAAAGTCACGTAGAAGGGTAACAATAAAATAATAAAAATATAAAACAAAATTCTCACGACGTTTCAACTGCAACACAAGCAATCATCATCAGGTGTGAAAACCACAGCAAGAAAATTTGAAAAAAGTGGCGTTTAAAAAAAAAAATAAACACAAGATCCAGGTCCGATTCAACACATTACATAAAATCCGTGATCTGGTTCCGTCTGTAAAAGATGCGATTCCGGACATACAGTACCCTGACGTCTACAAACTAAGTTGCCTCTGTGGTAGTAGCTACATTGGAGAAACCAAACGACATGTCTCAGACCGCATTCGTGAACACAAAGCAGACCTAAAACACGGTAGGACCAACATCTCGGCCGTGGCAGATCAATGTTATAATTCAGTAGGCTCACATGACATTGACTTCTCCAAGACAGAGGTTTTTTGCAAGCCATCTGGCTACCATGAGAGATTAGTTCATGAGGCTATCCACATATACAAACACAGACAATTTCAACCAGGAAGATGGATTCTGGCTTCGCAATCATTGGAAAGATTTGATAAACCATTTCGGGTCTTAATTGATTGTTCACGCTTAGGGTGGCTTTCAGACCGCATCCATTATTTTCGTCTCCCCTCTCCTCTTTTCCGAACATAGATGGACTCGTCCATCTGAATAACTGCTAAATCGCTCTCCGTGGTGCTAACGTTAAAAAAACGCCACTTTTTAAAAATTTTCTTGCTGTGGTTTTCACACCTGGTGATGATTGCTTGTGTTGCAGTCGAAACGTCGTGAGAATGTTATTGTTTTATATTTTTATTATTTTATTGTTTCCCTTCTACGTGACTTTACCGAAAGAACCAAGAATATCATTACTTAATGTCAAAATCTCAGGTGCGCGGGTTAACCCGCAAATCGGATAAAACACCACCCGGACAATCGAGTCTACTGTGTTTCAATGGGTGACCAACTCGCGGATCCCCCATTGCTAACGATGACGCGGGGTCACGGGCAGGCGTCTCGGGCCTCCAGTCATCCTCAATGGCCCGACAAACAAAGGGACCGGGCAGGTCCCCGATGCCGCAAGCGTAAAACGCGACGAACCCAAACGGCATCGACCCCTAATTGGTAACATGACATTTCAAGTGCCGTGACCGAGCAATTTTTTTTTGGGGGGGGGAGGGCGGGGAAAAGTGGATTGACGACTGAACCTGCAGAATTGTCTCCATAGAGTGAAAGGGGGGAGAGAGAGAGGGGGGGACAGACAGGGGGGTTCTTTATCAGCCAGATTAATCCGAACTTATGCACGTAACCTTATTACTTTAAGCCGCTTTTGAAAAACGGGTCAGGCGGTGGAGGGGGGTTGTCCTTTTGCCAAGCCCATTATGGTTGCGCTCAAGGTCTGGCCCCAAAGACAAAGATCCCCCGTATAGCCTTAACAGACTGTAGGGGGCAAGTGCTGTTAGCGAGGGCTATGAAGGCCGGCACGGCACACAAAGGGGTGGGTGGCCAGCACCACGCCCGGCCGCCTTTGTCTCCCCAGTGGCGATGTTTACACACTGCACCAGGTACTCATCTTAGGCTGTGTCGACCTAGGGGGGGCCCTGGACCGGTTCTGATAATCGTCAACGATGTTCGCCATGAGCGGGTTCGCTGGGTTCGTAGCACAGCACACTAACCATTACACTGCCGCTCACACACACACACAAACACAAAAACGGAAGCGGTGAATTGAGAGGCAACCGGGCTCATTTGAACAATTACACAATACCAGTGTGGACATGCTGTGAAAATTCAACTGTTGTGAAAACAAATTGTTTGACTGCAAATGTTATGCTGTCAATTAATTGGGTTCGCTCCATTGAATAATATCACCAACACCTTCTGCGTTGGTGATATTATTCAATGATCGTAAATGCTTTTTCACAGCAATCCGAAGCCTGCGATGGATTCAACGCTGCGATGATTTGAACGTTTACACGTTTGTGGTCAATAATCGGGTTACACAATGATAACAATGCATACAAATAACTCTTCAAATCACTCGTCAAATCACTCTCCATCTACCCGCAAACGGCTCAGCCTAGTTCCACGCAGGATTCCCTCGTTATTCGGGAGGAATGCCTTCTGGAGATGCTCGCGAATCGCACAGTTTGCAGAGAATATTGGTCCTTTTTAATTAATTACCTTAAATACATAAATAAGATCTTAAATACATTAAAATTATCATCTCTCATCGCGTTCTCTCACGCTCTCTCTCGATGCAGTCGTGCAGAGTTCCAGATTGCGATTCGCGGATAGCCAAAAATAACGGACAGCGAGTACGTGAATAACAAGGAAGTGCTGTAATTCTTAAGAGCTCCCGGGTAGAGGATGCTTCATCAGTTCCTCTTTGACGAGCGCACACTGCGGTTTTACGTGATGGCACTTCAAAAGGTCGAGCCAGGAGAAGGCCTCCATACGAGAGCGCGGAAGTCTCCATCATGCGAGGAAGTCTTCATTTACGGGGCACCTTACCGTCAATGCAAGAGCTTTATCTTTAAAAACTTTAGCAATGCATCCTAAGCACAGCCTCTGTTGGATGCGTACAACCGTTTGGCTCAGTGACCACCAATTCTCCTGTTTTTGTATTATCTGTGTACGGAACTGGATAATTGATGTGCAGCGTTGTGGGATGCAATTGCATGATTGACGATCAATAAAACGAAATTACTATTACAACAATGACACATCAGTAGAAGCTGGATATAAGCACACCATATCAGCAGTCCTCGTATAAGCAATACGTGCTTATACCAGGACATGGTCAGGGTCAGTGGCAAATGGCAACTTCTGATACAAGTACACTACTTCAGATATAAGCAGTGCTGGCCTGGTTCTCAATGGGTGTGCGCTCATTAATAGCTACCACTGTCGTCCTAAAGATCTAAACGAAATGATCGTAATTACAAATCTCTAAAAACATGCCACCCAATCACTATGTACTCTCATTAAGTTTTAGCCAACTATCCAATTAGTCAGCAGCTGTAGCTTCACAAAACTCAAATGTTAAAATATCTTTAGCATGACAGGACTGGCAACGTACCCAGAAGAAGCGCGTGCCCGGTTTTAAATAGGGACGCCAAGTGGGCTGAAGTTGCCAATTACACAGGCTACAGAGACGTAAACATACGCCAGCTAACACGGTTGCATAACCGACACGTCGTGCCATTTCATTCAGCCACGTCACACAAATATACGCGGATGATTCA